GAGTAATTACATTCACATTTTGTAAACCGTCTACTCAAGTAGTAAATCGCCCTTTCTTCACCAAATTGGTTTCCTTGCGCGACCATTCCAACTATTGATTCTTGTTCAGTCGATATATATACACTTTCATTAGCCGTCCTTGGATTGGTGACACCAACACTGGTGGACTTGATAAATATGTGTTTAGACTTTCAAAAGTCTTTTGATGCTCTTCCTTCTAGACGAATTCGTCCTGATTTTTCAACTTTAAAAGCGACGAAAAAGCTTTGTTCGCCCTGCACAGTTAGAAATAAAGCATCTTAAAAAGTTTACTTGGCCTATAAACCTTTGCAATTCCTTTTTATTGGTAGGTGGTTTGACCTCTAAAATGGCCTTCACTTTATTTTTGTCAAGCTCAATCCCCCTTTTGTGTACTAGGAAGCCAATGAAGTTTCTTGCATTAACACCAAATGCACATTTCAATGAATTCAATTTTAGTTTATATTGCCTCATTCGCGTAAATGAACATCTCAATTGTTCAAAATGGTCCACTTCTTTAATGGATTTGACCATTATATCATCTACATACACCTCAACAAACTTGCCTATCATATCATGAAAAATCAAGTTCATTGCCCTTTGATAAGTCGCTCCTACATTTTTCAGGTCGAAATGCATAACTACCAATTCAAAACATCCTAAAGATCCAGGGCATCTAAAGGCAGTTTTGTGTAGATCTTCCTCAGCTATATAAATTTGATTGTATCCTGAATACTCGTCCATGAAGGAATATATTTCGTGTCCGGTAGTCGAATCTACTAAAGAATCTACCGTAGGCATTGGATATTCATCTTTGGGTGTGGCTATATTTAGGTTTCTAAAGTCTATGCACACCCTTAATTTACCATTTTTTTTAGTATTGACACGATATTGGACAACCACTTAACATATCGGATGTTCTAATAAAACATACTTTTAATAATCACTATATCTCTTTCTTTATTTCGAGAAGTATATTAGGAGCAAAACGCCTAGGGGGTNTATGCACACCTTTAATTTACCATTTTTTTTAGTATTGACACGATATTGGACAACCACTCAACATATCGGATGTTCTAATAAAACATACTTTTAATAATCGCTATATCTCTTTCTTTATTTCGAGAAGTATATTAGGAGCAAAACGCCTAGGGAGTTGTTTATGAGGTTTAAAATTTGGCTTGGTTGGCAAGCTATGTTCTACCAAATTTCTATCTAAACCAGACATATGTTCTTATTCTCAAGCAATACAATTCTTATATTCCTTTAATAAAGCGATTAATTTATCACTAACCTCTTAATCGAGCATCTAGCTGACGAATGTTGGGTGATTTTCCCCTTCATTGCCAATATTCACTTTAACCAGAGGGTCTTGTACTTGAGCGTATCCAGGCTTGGTGATCCTCATTACTTCATCGTCCATGTCCCTTATAGGCGCTTATTCGCTTGAAAATATACCGCAAGTGCACGGGTCGCGTACAAGTAATAAAGTGGATTTTTTGAGTCCGGATTGTCGATCCCTCGAGGAATGTTACTTTAGATTACACGACTTTAATCAGTTTAATTCTAACAATCAAATGAAACGCACACAATTAAATATGAGATTTGAAAAGCGGTAAATAAACTAAAA